AGAATACATTCAAAAATACATTCATGGGCATTTAACTAGGTTCGAGTTTGTCAAAAAAATCTCTTTTTCGTATAGTAAATAATGAATATTGTGAATGAAATGTGTACTTAATGAATATTGTGAATGAAATGTGTACTTTTTATATAATTTTAATTTTTATAATAATTTATTATTTGGACGACAGACATGTGAAATTACTAAAAATATTTTTTTTTTTTATAGTATACCTAAATATTGAATGTGTACTTTTTATATAATTTTAATTTTTATAATAATTTATTATTTGGACGACAGACATGTGAAATTACTAAAAATATTTTTTTTTTTATAGTATACCTAAATATTGAATGTGTACTTTTTATATAATTTTAATTTTTATAATAATTTATTATTTGGACGACAGACATGTGAAATTACTAAAAATATTTTTTTTTTTTATAGTATACCTAAATATTGAATGTGTACTTTTTATATAATTTTAATTTTTATAATAATTTATTATTTGGACGACAGACATGTGAAATTACTAAAAATATTTTTTTTTTTTATAGTATACCTAAATATTGAATGTGTACTTTTTATATAATTTTAATTTTTATAATAATTTATTATTTGGACGACAGACATGTGAAATTACTAAAAATATTTTTTTTTTTTTATAGTATACCTAAATATTGAATGTGTACTTTTCATATAATTTTAATTTTTATAATAATTTATTATTTGGACGAAAATCTAGTGATGTTTAACATGTGATATTTATACTTATACTGTTTTTACGTACAATTCGTATATAATAGCGTATGCTTTGGAAAATACAGTGGGTACCTATACTTAAACAGGTGAATAATAATAGTAAGATAAAATATAGATAATAGTTTGTAATCAATATCTGTGTGGGGTGAAGCGCGTGTGTGATACAAGGTGAGGCGCGTACATCGAGTTATTACTAATTGATGGATTCAGTTCAGGGGTTCTCAAAAAAAATTTATCAATTTGTTTTGGCGGAAATCGGAATATAACCTTTGGCGGAAAACGGCCATGGTGATAACGGGCTAGGGTCAATTTGGCGGAAAACGGTTACGCCCGATGAAAGCCCACAGAGCGAATGAACTGAAAACAATGAATCCCTTTTTAGGTGGTTAAATGTCTTTAAAATACTTTTTAAGTCGAATGAAAATAGTATTGAGTATCTCGCAAAAAAAATAGGAGTAGTCCTCGTAGCGATGTTATGGCTTAACTTTTTTTATATCTAAACGGACTTGGCTGTCAAGGACAGACTAGGCTGCTAGGAGTAGACCTATGTGTAAAGTACCGACCGGGCTGCTGAGGACTGACTACTAACTGACTATGGTGTCTGATTTGGGTGCTACTTAAATCATTGATCTTTCGTAATTGTTGTTCGATTTCAAACTTTTGTTGCTTATTTAAACAGTACCTACATAGGTATAAAATGTGTTATTGTCATTGCAGATTTTATGATATTAATTAGGTTTGCAGGTTGCTGTTTGGTCTTATTGGAAGATCCGTATGACGGAACCGAACACCGTCCTAATTGGCAACGGGTGCTTAAATCGGGAATGTCCGAATATATGTAGTGTTGATACGTTATGTAGCTGGCTCATATTAAGTAGCACGGTTCCTCTTGTGCATTACTTAATTTAGTAGTTTTTCATGATTTCATATGTTTTTTTATTTTTTAATTAGGGTTAAGGCTTCAACTACTAGGTCATTATCCTGTGATATACTGTAGGGGAGCCGGGGAGGGTACACGTGTGTGTTTGTTTTGGCAGAAATTTCGATTTGGGCACCCGTAGGTATCTGCCATGCTCGGGTGGGGGATGGCGGCACTTGTTCTCCGGACACCGTGACTTGCACGAAGAAAAATGCCACCCGTGGCTGAAATCGAACCCGGGTCGGCCGTGTCGCAGCCAACGCATTAGTCCACTCGGCCACTCCGTCCCCCCATATGTTTTATTCGTAGGATTTTTGCTAATTGATATTTTCTTCACATCCTGTGTTTTTTCTGATTATTGGAGTGTTTGTTTAAAGGTTGAGTAATGTTTTGTTGATTTTAAAATGCTTTTAGAAAAAGATAAATTTGATAATTTTAAACTCGACGGCTAGTAACACGCACTATAGCTAGTGCGGTGAGCATAACGTCTTAGCTGTGTCGGCGTCGGGAACGTCGATAACTACGATGAAACTGTAACGCATGTAAGCGGAAAAAGAGCGCGCCACGTATTCCGTTAGCGGTCTTGTTCCTTTACGAATTGTCTGTCGAGGACTGACTAGGCTGCTGGGAGTAGACCTAGATATCCAAGTACCAGCTGGGCTGCTGAGGGCTAACTACTGACTGACTGTTGTGTCTGATTTGGTTGCCACTTAAATCATTGATCTTTCGTAATTGTTGTTCGATTCCAAACTCCTTTTTACTTTATTTAAACAGTACCTATATAGGTTATTGCACATTTTATGATGTTAATTAAAAAATATATTTTACGGGTATTAAATTGTATAAATAATTTTGACTATTATGATACAAACAACATATTAAAGTATGATCGCAAAAGTCCAGATTTGGTTCAAGTCCTCGTAATACGTCACTTGATTACCAGTATTATCATAATATTATTGTTGTTAAATTATTATGACTATACACTACGCGTTGCTTCGACGTGCTTACCGAACGTATGTGACCGTCAAAAAGTTACGATCATACATTGTTGTATCATGATTCACGAGTCATGACTATTATAATATAATACATCGTACAGTTATTATATTATTTTGAATATCATTACAATAGGTGCAAAAAGACCTAAAATATAAAAATGTTTTTGATAGGATCCAGTATTGTTTTCTGGTACATTGAGAATGAATTTGGATCCAACTAATAGTAATACGGACGCACAGCTGTGGAGTGTCCTAACACTTGTCCACTTAAAAGCATATGTTGTAAGACTGGCTAGTGGTTTGGATTATGAAGTGTCTGAAGGCGGAGAAAATTTAAGGTAATTTTAAACAATAGTTAATATAATTACTTATTTTTAATTTTTCAAAATCAATAGTTGCGTGGGGCTCATTTACAAATAAAAATAAAAAATGTTTGTAAAATGTCATCCGAAGATTCTAATCTATTTTCTAGACTTATGGACGTTATATTTAAACCGATATTATCGGCACTTAAGTTGATATATAATTAATATACTATTATCTGGCATACAGATTAAGCAATAGTTTATAAACAGTAAACAAATTGGCAAAAAAGCGGCTAAGTGGATGTCGCTCTGCTGTACTGTAGGTTACACGTGGGTCGGTATCATGGATGGTATTAAATTTTAATTTAATCATATAATATCATTGTGTATAAAAAACGATTCTGAGCGGAGATGGGTTGTCAGTCTAGGACATTTTATACTATATTTGGGCTGTTATTACTTATTATTAAGAGGACTTCTAAGTCTAACCCACAGTGTTGTATCCGTCTCACACACTTACGACATAGTAAATTTTCGTTCTCTAGTTTCAATAGAGTGCTGTTAATTTTTATATTAGAGTTGATCGAACTTTTAAGCTTTAAGTCACAACATTATCTGTGTTCTGTCTTTGGTATCTTACGATATTTTAATTTTTAAGTGAGTTATACGTATGTATAAAAAATCAATATTTAAAAATGCTAATAACTCACTTAAAAATTAAAATATCGTACAAAACCAATGAGAAAACACAGATAATTTTGTTACTTAAAAGTTTGATACTTGATCAATTCACTGTAATATCAAAACTGACAGCACTCTATTGGAACTAGCGAACGAAAATTTGCCATGTCATATGTGTTTACAACACATGCGGATGGTTCCTCTTAATATAGTAAGTAAAATAATCTTTTGACCCCCCCCCCAAAAAAAAAAAAAAATACCAACTAGATTCACTTTCAGAAAAGACGTAGTTGAAGAAAATCGCTCCACTCAGAATCTAAAAAAATATAAATATTGTTAATTTTATTCATGTCAATATTAATAAATAATAATTAACAATATAATATTATTATGCTCTATTTTATCAATAAACATTGTGTTTCAGTGTGGGCCAAAGACAACTGGTGTGTTTGGCGAGAGCATTGTTGAAAAAGACAAAAATATTAGTGTTAGACGAAGCGACGGCGTCAATCGATTTGGAAACAGACAATCTCATACAAACGACAATACGAACGGAATTCAAAGATTGCACAGTGTTGACGATCGCTCATCGTCTGAACACCATTATGGATTCTGACAAGTACCTAAACTAAACTAAATAATGTCGAACAGAGTTTTTGGATATAATTAATATATTGAACTCATTGTTTCCGTGCAGGGTAATTGTGTTGGACAATGGTTTCATGATCGAATACGACTCACCTGCCAATTTGCTACAACACAAATCGTCGATTTTTCATTCAATGGCAAAGGACGCAGGTCTAGTGCCATAACGATGTTCGGCACTTAGGTTTTATACCTGTAAGATAATTTTACTAAATATGTCGTAATATCTTGTCATATAATTTATTAAAATGTCACATCATAATAATTATTTCGAACGGCGTTTCCACCTATAACCTGCACTGCAGGGAGAAACGTGCTTCATCGAATTCTGTCTTTGTTGTACTAATCGTTCGTGTTATGTTATAACTTATAAGTATAATAATATGTGCCTATGTAATGTATTAATTTGTTGTTAATTAGGTCTTGTTTTCGTGTTATAAAATGGTTACGTACCTATATTATAATTTAATAAAAGTTCAACATAATATTGTGTTTAGTGTGATACGTTTTATTGACACAATCACTGATATTTGTATATCATCAAAAAAAAATACAAATTAATACGATGATACAATGATATGACTATCATATTTTGTGTAAATAAAAAAATAAACAACTGTGCCAAAACGTTCGTTTTTATAAATATTTTTATGATTATGTTTTTGTTTTATTATGTTATTGCTCGACTCTTGTTCACCGCATACAGTTACGCTTGTGGTTGACCAGTTGAATAGCCTGTCGGACCTCTGTGGCCGCCGCCTCGCAATCCATGAACGGCAACCATCTCAGCCACGAGTACGAGCAGTATCCGTCAGTATTCTCGCGGCTCGTCGGCAGGTCCTTGACCGCGTACTCGACGGCTGCCTTCCTCGCGTCCTGCTGCACCTTCGGCGATTCCAGGGCCGCGGCCAAAAGCGCCTTGTCGTTGCCCGAACGGCCCTCCAGCCCGGCCACGCTGTACAGCAGGCCTGCCGGAAACCCTTTGGAGTTGGCCTGTACCAGCGCTTCACCCAGGTTACTCACGCCGGCCACCTGTGGGGCGAATCAAGGTACAAAAATCACATTAAATGGCGTGTTTGGAAAAATGTATTTTTCAGTGGCATGCGATGTGGTGGACTGGGTTTGGAAGCGATCAACAGCGGATTAGCTAAATATATGACGTATAATAAGAGTTTTGGGGGACTTCGGACATTTTTTTGGAAAAAATAATACTTTGCACGTCGTCTCATTATTTACAATTTTTATGGACATCAATATTATTACTTGGCAGTTAAATCTGAATGCATTATCGAGCACAACAATTTACGATTACACCATTGGCATAAAAAAGTAAATCGCTATCGTTTTCAAAAATCAATAAAAAAATCAGATCTTATGAGATATATAACTGAGTATTATTTTTTATAATTTACTCGAGGCAATTGATGGCTGATTGTTTTGTGTCGTTAAAATATATTTACTGTTTATAATAATATAATATGCATTTCAGGTGTACCCGCCTTTCCTGATACTAGCTCACTAAAACCCCGAAGACCTGTACCTAAGCCCTAAGGGATTTCTGAGAGTTAAGATTTTTTTCGATTATATTAACGCCCACATTCAATTAAACACTATACACTCATTAAAGACGAAGTTATCGAAAACAATATTAATTTAGAATAATAATAACTACAGGTGTATGTGTATAATATAAAATTACACTAAAACGAATGAATTTTAATGATTTACAAACGTTGTCGTTTGTCGACGACATACTTCAGTAATAATAATTATTATTATTATAAATTATAATACTTGTGTTTTCCCAGCTGATGTTGTAGAGAGCGTGGTATTTTGTTTTCTTTACATTCGACTGCAGTATAAGTACTTAAGGGGCAGTCTTGTAAAGAATACTTTTATTTTGTATTCGGAATACATATACGAATAAATGAGAATTAAGGTATTCAGAATACGTGTTTGAATAGTTCTTAAAAAATATATTCAGAATACATAGTCGAATACTATTAGAATACTTTTTTTTCAGAACTAGTTTTTTTCAGTTTTCAAATTGTTATTAACTAACATATTTTATTAATTAATAATTACAAATACATCGTAATCATAAGTTATTTATAAATGTTGACCACATATGATAAGTCCGATATGGGCCATACGGGATAAAACACATTGGTGTTTATAAAAAATAATCATATCATGGAAAATATTATATTTCGTTCAAAGAATAAAATTAATTTTCATGATTTATAATATGTCTTGTCACAAACTTCAAACTATTTTTCTGGACAGGAAAAAAAATATTTTTTTAATGAATAAAAATACAAATAAAAGTATTCAGAATACGTATTTAGAATAATATTCGATTACAAAGAAAGGATTCAAATACTTTTATTCTAATACTTTACAAGGCTGTTAATGGGCCTTGTTATTCGATTTTAGCTCAAAAGACCTTAAGTTTTAACAAAGTTAAAGTTAGTTTACGTTGTCCGATTTTGATTCTGAAAAGAAATTTGAACTGTGCTGAAAACTGTCTATATCTATGTCGTACGCAATACTTTGTAAAAATCTGATTTTATTATGATCTGTAATTGAAAACATGAAAATATGAGTTTTCAAATCATAATTCATATTAAAAACGAAAATTACGCTCTACAGACATTTTTCTGCTGGTTTCAAATACTTTTTCAGAATCAAAATCAGACAACGATACCTATTTTTAATTATGTCAAAACAATATTAAGTAAGTTGTCGTAAAATTCGTATGAGGAATTTTTTATTGTTATAGAGTTCTTCACTTAAATCGTTTCATCCCATTTCGCCGAATCCCACTTGGCAGACAAAAAACCAGTTGTATATGGATTGATAAAAAATCCCATTTGACCGAATCCTATTTTTCCTAATCCCATTTTGCCGAAAAATCATAGATTTTCACTCATCAGAGCTTTGATGGGTAGGCACTACACCCTATGAATTTACTCTTAGAAAATTCTTACATGCAACTTGATTACTGGGATTTAAATTTAAAATAATCGTATTAAATATCGAAATTTTAAAATAAAAATAAAAAAAAACCTTGTGTATGTATTTTTAATATGTCTTAATCTTAAAATAAAAATCAAAAATGTCCAGTAATAAGCTATTTCAGATGATATCGTCGCGGAAACATCGTTCAGTAATATTGTCGCTGATAAAGTGACAATAATAATAAAAACTTACATCTACAAATGTTACACATATAATGATGGGCTTACGCACAGTCACACTCTTTAGTCTACAGTCACCTTTGCCACTCGTAGTACTAGTCATAAAAGTCGTTGTTTAATATAATATTAATATGTCCAATTTGTGTACATTTTTTTTTTTGACAACTGCAAAAGAGCAGTAAATATTAATTAATTATACAATTATTATATATAAGTGAAAGTGTCGCCAATGGGTGGCTTCTTTCTTCAATTTTTATCATGTCATATTTTTACTCTGAGCCTATATGCTTATTGTGTCATTTGGTACAGATTGTATATTACTTATTTGCAAATAAAAAAAAAAAAAATTATATATTAATACCTAAAATGTATGTTTGAATTCAGATTTGGAAATGGACAAATAACAATTATGGAATATCTAGACGCAATTATATCTACCACTTCCGTCTCGAGTAAAACTCAAAATGTTTGACGATGTTTATATATTTTTAAAATGATATATTAATTTTTACAAATTCTTTCTTACTACCATTGTGTCTTATAACTCTTATATATAGTTAAATACTTCATTTATTTCATTTATTTTTTATGGTCAGTCAACGGTTTTATTTGATAGTTTAACCTGACAATACAAATTAAATTAATATTTTTTTAATATACATACAACGAAACAAATTTCTACTTTATTCTGTTTCGGTGACATGGTATTCGGCGAAATGGGCCCAAATCACCTAAATTGTACCGAGTATCATAGTGGTTCCCGCATTGAATTTAATTCACCCAAATAATCATTTACAACTAAACATAGATCCTGGGTGGCTTAGACGAGATAAAAAATTGCCCAAATGTTGCCTCTTAAATAATAGCCGTAGAGAGGCAACTTAAACGATAATATTTCGTTTGTAGGTATTCTGAAACAGACATTTATACGAGAACGTATAAATTGCTATTAATATTAATTTATTGGTTAATTTTATTTAGCAAATAATAAACCACACTACTAATTGAAATTTATATTGCTAATAATTTTTATATAAATAACAATAGTTTACTATATCCTTGACAAATATTAGACTGACACACCGTCGCAGCTCAGAATCGGAATCATAATAATATGTAATAATTGTATATCATTGTACTAGAATTTAACACATCCATTACTGTGAAGTGGTTGGAGGTACTCTCAAAACATGCCATGCACAGTTCTCGGCGTTTTCGGTTTTTCCGAATGTTGTGTTGTCTACACGAGGTTTTTCAGGCGTTATTTTTATTTGTAGTTTGTTTGGGATCACTGTTCGCCGTGTTATCAGGAGAAAAATGTAGTTTTTTTTCCACAATTCACTGTCTCTGTAGTCTATACTTTGGTTCAGTGCATATTCATTAAAATGATGTAGGTATATTTAATGATATTACCAATATACCGACATAAATCATTTCCTTCAAACAAATAAAGCATGATATTTATTATAGGCAATAGGTATAAAGTGGTAGGTATCAATGTTTTGATAGAAGCTATTTTTAGTATTTCCAAAACTGATTATTTTATATTAAAACAATATAAAGATATAACATTAAAAAATTTTCGTTTATTGGTACTTCTGCTGAAAATACAAATGTTAAATAATCGCTTCGATCAAACCACATTTGACTTGAAAATTAATCAAATCCATTTTTTAAATTAAAATCCGTCAAACCAAAGTTTGAGTAAATTTCATACAGTTTTGTCAAGCGATATTATAATACCACCCTTTCTGTTTAGCGACTGCTACCGATTATCATCTATCGTATCGTTGTAATTATTGTAAAATTAGTTAATTATATACTTATGAAGTTATGAATATAAGTGACAAGGAGCGGACTGTTATATTATTTGAAAAAATGAAAAATCATCAAGTATGAAAAGAGTACTTGTTTATCGCGGACTGTAGTTGATGTTATGTGAAAATATGTGTACAATTACAATATTATAATAAGAAATAATATGTAATTTAAGAAAATAAAAGCGAAATTGTGGAAAGGTGCTGCACGTCGCACGAGCGTCTAAATAGTCAAAATCCGTAACTTTATTAATTTGTTTACTCTCTTCTCGTCGCTTAAACCGGTTTCATCTTAACATGGCAAGAGTGTTTTTTTACACTGCAGGTTTCGAATTTTTACTTTATTTTATCCATTATCGGGCCTATCTATACAACTTTCTACAAATATATTTTATAAAAATCGTCAAAAAACACTTGTTGTCCACACGGGCTTGTGCGTGAGAAATGAGAATACCTATAATAGAATATAATAATATTATGATAACCTGCGAGTGATGTCGACTCGTTCTGCAAACATCGCGATTACCGATGACGATATTTTCTACAAAAACAAATTAATATTATAAATCTGACAACTATACACATAGGGGCTTCATTTGGGGGGGAGCAGGGGGTACGACGGCACAACTTATTTAATAGAGTAAATAATTGGCGCTCCATTAATGTTCCTATACACCGATATGATTACTATTAAAAATTAATTCATAGGTACATGTAATATAATATATTTGTTTTTTTATCATCTATTTATCATCAAATGTATCTCTATATTTTGATAACCGTGTGAAGCGAGTTTCATTATATAAGATAGTTCGAGCCAGTATTTTGCTGGTATCAGCTGTAGGGGTGTAAGCATAGCATACATAATATATTAGAACCCATAGATACTCACTGATTTAAATTTAAAAATAATTAATAATGTTTTATGCTACTGCTGTACAGTAGGTTACAAGTAGGTCACTGCATATTGGATGATTTTAAATTTGAATTCAATGATATAATATCGTTGTATAAG